CCAGTGTAGCTATAGGCTTGTTGTACAGTCCCAATTACTCACAAAGAAACAGGGAAACATGAATTCAAACCTAGCTTGCCTTTAAGGCACAAAGAATGTAAGGATATCATTGCATAGAAGGAAGTAACTTGTAGGCTCATGTTTCAAAGATATTTTCTTAATTAGCAACCTAGTTTATATATTTTAATTCTAAAATAAGCATGTCCTTTTCCACTCTTTCTTCTTTTACTCAATATAGACCCCATAGCCCAGGCCTTTTCTTCAAAGCAAAGTGGACAATTAGAGCTATTGCTCAAGGTCTGACAACTGGAGAAATTTTCTTCGCCATTCTTTTTTAGGGACAACCATGAGTGAGTCAGTAATGCAGCAGCCATTCACTTGGGACTGGTCCAGTATATTTTCTGACCCATTCATACCTTGTAAAGAGATCATGTGAACAATAGCAGTTGCTATCAACCCTGGGTATATTTCTGATAATCAGCAGTTGTTTTTATACTGGCAAGTCAATGAATTAAGCAGAGATGTGAATAAATACCACTATTATTACATCTTTCAAATTTTTGTTGGTGGAGCTAATCTTTACAATTATTCCAGTATTTGTTTTAGTTTACTATTTTGATGATGATGGGGTTGAATAGTTCTAGAGACTTAGATTTTTCCTTCCTATTATTATATAATAAAATTCTCATTCTTTGTATGGATTCTGCCATTCTGGCTGTTTTATGGTCAGTGTTGTCTTAGATTCAATAATCTATAGAGAAATGGCAATCAAAGCTGGGAAAGGAATTGGACATTGCAGAAATAGAATTCCACAAACTTGGATTAAGTAAGTTTGAAGCATTTTGAAACTTCCTTACAGATCTAGAATCTTTTATGTTTATAATTTAAATGAATTATTAACAATTTGTATTAGTGATAAAAAGTGATAGAGATGGGAGCTGAACATGTGTAGTTTATATGTGAGGTGTAAGAGGTCTTCATGAAATAATCCTGTAAAATTAACACTATGCCTTTTGTAGAGAAAAGAAAAAAAAAAATCCTCCAAGCTTGCCCTGTAAAGCACAAAAGCATTTGTTTGCATCTTAAATGGAAGAAGAAAGGGGAAAGTTTTACATTTGTATAAAAATAATTTTTACTGGTTGTTTTTCACTGTAGCTGAAAAGCATAATCTTAAAACATTTTGGTACTTTCCTGTATTTGAAAGACAAAACCAGGTTAATTAACATATATGTGTAGAGAGATTCCCCTGGAAGAAGACTCTGAGAAATGGACACAAATGCAGTAGTTAATTTAGATGAGCCTAGTACTGGTGAAAAAATGGCAAATGTGAGACAAGAAAGGGAGAAAAGCCAATAATGTGTATATTAATAAGCAGAATAATGTGATGAGCAATTATGATTCAGTATTACTGGGAACCCTCTCATTACTCTTTAGAACAAACCTCAGAATTGTCCTCCTGAAGATGGCGAAGCTGAGTTATTTACACATTGATTTCCAACCCTCATTGACTAAGGGCTGCCCAACCCTCAGCCCTCCCTGCACTAAGTCCCCAGCACTTCTGAGCTGCCAGGCAGGCACATGGGCTGAGGCAGCTCGCTCAGCTCCAGAGAAAGTCCCCAGGCAGCAAAGTAGAGGTTGGAAGTGGTCGGTGTGCTTAACAACTGACCATGAAGATGTAGCTTTGGCCCAGGGAGATGTGGGATGTACATCAGCAGCATCTGCTACACAGAAAACACCTGGGTACTTTTTGCCACTATGGACAAGTGAAATTAACCAACTTTCCTGGAGGAGAAATATGAGTTATATGGTGTTTTGCTACCTTCATCCTATGGAAAATCTCTAGGTTTGTTCCCCCGTTGTACTGGAGTACCAAGCTAGAGTATAAGACCAATTCAGTTATACTTACTATATAACTGAGTACTGATATATTTGTGTACTGTTATATCAAGATTAATGTTCACGTTAATCACTACTGAGTCCATTATGGCTGCAAATCATTTCTTTGTAATTTTCTGTTTGTTTGTTTTTCCTGCACATTGGTTACCAGTTAGAAAACTAGAATATTGACTAGATGCATCATGCAATCTTTCTTCATTATGCGCAATCAAACATGAGTAAGAGATGGGACCTTACTCAAAAAGAAGAAAATCTACCATTTGAAGCTGTGAATATGTATTAGGAAAGATTTTGATTTATGATGAGTCCCATTCTTTTGGCAAAACATAGTATAATCTTGGTGCAAAAGCAATTATTGATATCAATTATTGATACAAATTACCTTCAGATTTAACTATTTGTTATAGTATTTTACAAGAAAAATAAGGCATCATTATGAAATCTGAAAGAACACTTTATAGTAAATTTACAGCAATTAATATGGCTCTGTTTTGTTCCTACCATTGTATAATGCCGTCATTTACTTTATGTTTCTAGATTGGAGATTTACATTTTAAATGATTTATTTGCGGACCTTAATTGTAAATTAAAGCTTTCCAGGAATGAAAGTTTTGCATTTCTGTATTTCAGGTTCATCATTTATTTCATTTCACAACCTATTAAAATTGGCCAACCTTAATGACAATAACTATCATTAAATGAGCAAAATAATGATTTACATTTGAGTTAATTTAAGTGTATAAAAGGAAATGCTTTGCAAGGCCAGTAGGCTCCTCTTGAAACTTCATAGAAAGCTATTATTGGGCCTATATTTCAGATGTTACTCAAGGACAAGCTTGTATTTTCTAGGATAAAGAAAAAGAAAAGGGCTACGAAAAGGCCTTTTATTAATTTTTGTAGTTTGACTCAGGAATAGTTTTATACAAAAAGATTAGAAGGGAGCAGAAATACCAACTTCTATTTTCATGGCCCTGACAAATTACCAATCCTTGCTGAGGCCCAATGTGATTACCAGTAAAATAAGAATAATAAAGCTAATGTCATACAGTTTTGTGAATATTAAATGACATAATGCATACTAAATGCTTAGCAACATACCTGGTACATGGAAAGTCTTAGTAAATAATAATTGAGAAAGTTAAAGATTTAAAGAGCCAAACAATGTAATCTATAGAAAAGGAAGAGATAGCACTTAATGCTAATCCTCAGACTTAAAAATTGTCAAACAGCGATTAATGACTAAGTATAAGTCAATACAAATTGAAAACATAAAATCAATTTCAACATAAGAAAAAATAGCCATAAAGTATTGAGAAAGATTAATTTTCTTGGGCAGTTTTGAAAGGTAGGTAGGTTATGATTGTCTCTGGAATTGATTTCCTATGGTTGTCTTTCTATGGTAGTGTGATTCCCAACCATATAATATCGGAGTATTCATGCTGTACTTTAATATACCCTCATAGAGTCTTTTGATTAAAATTTTGCTGATTTAAATTTTAGAGTCAAGAAAGAAGTTCTATAAATTCTTCATAGATAACCACTCTTGGAGTGTGTCGTATAGTCTCTCCTCTTTTCCCTTGAAAGGAAATCAGATTCCCAGGAAGCTTTCACATACATTGCATACTTGGGTTAACTTATAGGCTGCTTAATATTGATTAACCTAGCTTATATCACTACACGGAATCTATCTGAATATTTTAAATAATGTTATTGTGGCCTCTGCTATTTGAGGTTAAAAGTACACACTGACTGTGGGGTCAGACTGCCTGCATTAGAATCCCAATTCCAATACAGATTTCATTTTCCCATCTGGAAAATGAGAATAACATTACTACTACCTTAATAGGGTAATTTTGAGAATTAAGTTAAACCTGAAGAGTCCTAGTTTATTTTAGGTATTTGATAATTTGAAATATTATTAATTTAATTTTTCCTGCAATTGTTTTATAGCTATACAGCAGTTACTCTGGCTAGTTATAATATAAAGAAACCCTTCTACTGTTCCTGAAACATAAAAATACTGAATTATGACACCATGTCTGTGTTTGTCCAACAAGTACTTATTTAATATTCAGATTGGGTGAGATACTACAGAGAGCATAACAACTATACTGATGATTCATGCACATTAGTGCACACTTCTTATGTTTTCTGCCAGATGTTGTTTTTCCCCCCTCATTCTGTATATGTAAATATATTTAAAACTTTTTGTGGACTATCTGTCCAAGAAATTATGCTAGGCATCATGTAGGAATCTATGAGTTGAAAGAGAAAGCATCTGCCTTCAGAGATAATTTTTATATCATGAGAAAACGTGGCTGTTTTGGTGATGCCAGTGTTTTCATCAGTACTAGTTCTAGGGTAGATGAGCTTAGGTTTAATACTTCTCCACCAGAATTGTCTATTTATTTCATCAGAATCAACTTTTTAGTTTATGACATGAGATAGTACCACTTTAATTGTTTTTGTTTTGTTTTTGCTATTGAATTTCTTTGTTTTTAAGTTTTTTATTTTGTTGGTTTTCTGGGCATGGAAATTCTGTAATTTGTCCTTACATACCTATGTCCTTACGTACCTAGAAGAAAGATTTTAAAGTTCTCTCATGTAAATTTTTTCATTTCTTCTCAGAATAACCCGATTCATTAGATAGGGCTTTTTTGAAAAAAAACAAAACACACCACACCTTCATTTAGTAAAAGAAACAATGACTCAGAGGAGTTAAATATCATAATCTAGGTAAAACTGTGGTTATTGTCAGAGCCATGCCTGGTAGCCTAGTGCCCCTAATCCCACGGAATATTCTTTCTATTCTACCACCAGGCCTCTCACTCACTTCTGTTGAGCATCCCAGGCTCACATTTGTACTGTGAGTACAGTGTAGACATGCACAAAGCATGAACTGTGTTGCACCTGAAGGATTAGTTTAATCACATATGATTATGATGAGGATAGTATGAATTATATTGTTAGTCTCTCATATAAGCAAATTAATACATTCCCTAAGGAGTACATTAAGGTTTTTGAGAAATAACAATATAACCATTTGTTAGAATTTTAAATATAAGACAATTAATATATTATTTTCTCTTTTTCTAGAAAATACAAGAGACATCATGATGATATATGAAGAAAATGCTGAGGAATGGGCTCTGTACTTGAGGGAAGTTTTTTCACATACTGTGAAAAGGGAAGCAATCCTGCTGTATTGCTTGGAGAATTACTCTCTTCGGGATCTGGAATTGCAGAGTTTAAACTCTTACGAATGCAAACTTTTGATACTATCAGATAGCCTGCTTAAAGACCTCACTCCAAAGAAATGTCAGTTCCTGGAAAAGGTACTTCATCCACCAGAAAGCGTGGTTACCCTGCTGTGTGGGGTGACGAGTTCAGACCAGCTCTACAAATTGTTAAATATCTCTGGAGGCAGATGGGAGATCTCAACTGAGCAGGGGCCTGAAGACTACATCTCTGTAATCGAGAGCATCATATTTGGAGGTAGTGTTACCAAATCCTCTTTATCAATTTGTTTTTATTTTTGTCTATTTCTTATTAAAAAAAATGTAAAGTGTTTTTTTTTTTTTTAACAATGAATATCTGATGTTAGGATAAAAAAGAAAAAAATGAAAGCAAATATATTTAACAGTATGTTGCACTTTCCTCAAAATGCATAAAGGTTCTGAATTTTTAGCTATATTCCAATTAAAGGCTTATCAGTTGTTATAAAAAATGGTTTATAAATATATTTCTTAGGGCAGTTTATATGAGATCATACTTGGTAGAACAAAAATGGTATGCTGTGCTGCTATATAGCAGTTTGGTTCTGGAAGCCGGTTTCTTACTTGAGGTAAGATTCTTTGCTGCAATATTGTTACTACTCAGTAGCTGTCCAATTTTTGAAGGTGTGGGTTAGAATGACAGAGCTTTTGCTTTGTTGATAATTGTATGATACCTCTTACTGGTATGAAATACTGTTGTTTTTACTAATTATAAAGAACAAATTTAGTCTTAATCATATATCCATTGCATTAAGGAGCAGAATGTAAGGGCTCCTTCATTAATTAATTAGAGTTCCATGTATTAGTCAAAACTCTGACGGTTACTAAGGTTAGAGCTTCTTGCCCCATTCTCTGCTTCAGGCTTGGTGTGGGAGGGGTGCTGTGGTGAGCTCCTCTGGTTTTCTCAACCTGCATTTCACCTTTAACTCCCAGTCTTCCAGCTACAGTTTCTCCTCCTAAAGGGGAGAGGTAGGTTCTTATTTTCTAGCAGCCATATCAGACATTAAATGTTGACTCTTTTTCTTGGAGTATATGTCTGGATTGTTTGGCAATCTCCTCATTCATGGAAAGTGTCCCACCCACGGTTCCCTTATGAGATGAGTGTGTCATCTCTAAGCATCTAGTTGTGGTGGTCCACCTTATATAGATTCTTACTGCTGATTTCCACGGTTCCCTCATGTGTCTGTCTCTTTTGATCAAAGTTTCTCTGAGATATCTCCTGGCTGGTCCTTTCTCTCGCCTGGTCCACGTCCATCTATAAAACGATTCGTTTGTCTTTTGCCCTGACAGACTCCACATGCAAGCCATTCCCAGCATAGCCACCAGCATCCTGCCCTCAGAACAGCAACACAGTCACAGCCTCTTGCCTTTAATCATTTCCAGACATGGGTCTAACATGAGTCTTGGTGTTCTATAAATCCAGAGCACCCATATCAATCCCCAGGGGTCTGCTGGAAGCCCTTATCACTGTACTTGAGGATGGTGATATCCCTCAGTCCTTCCTGAGGGGGATGGTGGGACTCACAGCACATCAACAACTCTCCTTAACAAATCCTTTTTCTATTTTCTGGCATTCCAACATCTTCAAATTTAATACTTTTAAAACCTTGTTTAGGTGATCTATTATTGCCTAACAAGTTACTCTTAAAATTTAGCAACTTAAAATAACAAACAATGATTCTACCACAGTTTCCATGGTTGAGGAATCTAGAAGCAATTCAGCTGGGAGGTTCTAGATCAGAGCATCTCATGAGGTTGTGCTCAACCTGGCAAAGATCGAAAATCACTTGGAAGCCTCCACTGTCCACTGGGGGAGGATTTGCTTCCAAAAAGACCTCACACTCTTGGCAGATTTGTTATTGATTCTTTAAAAAATATTTTTATTGATCTTTTTAGAGAGAGAGAGGAAGGTTGAGGGAGAGGGAAAGAGAAACATCTACCTACCACTATCTCCTGCACGCCCCCTACTGGGGATGGAGCCTGCAACCCGGGCATGTGCCCTGACCGGAATCGAACCAGCTACCTCTTGGTGCATGGGGCAAGGCTCAACTAATTGAGCCACACCAACCAAGGCTGTTACTGATTTTTTAAATCATCTCTTGGTTGGATAAGTTCCCTCTCATAGATCCCTCAAGAAGGGCCCTTGGCAGCAATGTTTCTGAAATCTTGCATGTTCAGAAGTGTTTGTTTCTTGCCTTGTACTTGAAGTACAGTTTGACTGAGGACCCTGTTGCTCACCTTTCTTCTGGCATGTAGAATTTAGGGAGATCTTATTTGCCTGGTTAACAAAAGGACTCTTCATTTGCATTTTAAGTCCAATGACTTCACTAGGATGTTACCTTAGCACTGACTGTTCTGAGCTATTTTGCCCAGAGACACAGTTATTTTTGTATCATCCCCCTCCCCCTCTCCAAAATGTAAATTCAAGTCTTTTATTTCAGGAACAACTCCTTGATTTATAGCTTTGAATATTTGCTCTATCTTACTATGATGATTTTGTTATTCAGGGATTCCTTTTATGTGTAGGTTGGATTTATTTTATTTGTGATACACTCAACAATTCCTCTCTAATTCATTTTGATTATTAATATTCATTGCTTAGTTTGTATTTATCATGTCAGTTTTTGCTGTCTTATTATGCGTTCAGCACTTTCTTTCCCCCTGTATAACTTCCAATTTCTCTCTTATTTTTGTGGTTCTTTTACTGTTTTTGAATGCACTCTTTGGCTGAGCATTGGAAGTTTACAACTCATCTCTTGATCTTGTCTTGCTAACCTCTCCTTAACATCTTGCATTCGGCATATACAATTGCTTCAAAGAGGTGGTTGCTATTTATTACATTTTAAAAATTCATGGTGAAATGCTTGGTCACAATTTTCCATTTCTCTTATGGCAACATGCTCTCAGTGTGTGTTCCTGATGTGGCATTGGTTTTCTTTTTTCTCTTTCTCTTGTAGAATCTTTATATAGATCCTGTGGTTGCCTAGTTTTGTTTTGTTTTTGTGCCACTGAACAAAGTGAGTTTTGTGGGGGTTTTTGGTTTAGCCAAAGAAGATAGGCATTGTGGGTTTTTGTTGTTTGTTCTGTTCCGTTTTTCTCCCACACAATGAAAGACTTTACTTCTCTGTTTCCACAGACATAGATTGCTTTCTGCAAATATGTCTTCTCAGTACAGTTCCTCATTTAGCCCCACTTTCTCTGCTTTTTGGAACCAACCTGCTTCCACAGATGCTTCTGTCTGAAACTGTTGAGTCACGTCTACAATATAAAAATGTATGGCCTCTACCCTTAGAGGAAAGTATGTTTGTTAGCTCTTCTTAAAATCTGCAGTTTCTAGATTAATCCTTCAAGGTTTTTCTTCTCTGTTTCCTATGGCACCCCTTTTGCTATCACTGATTTTGAAACCATTTCCATTAACCTGGAGGTCTAGAATGTCAGTTTTCTATTTTCCGTAAATAGGATATTACCATAATTGTTTCCCATTCTTAATGTTTGAGATGATTTTGAGGAATAGAAAGGGGAAATGCTGATTGTACATTAAAATTTTGAAACTGGCAGCCTTCAAGTTTCTTGTTATCTCTGGATTTTTTGTTGTTTTTTTTTTAGTATTCCCCAAGTGCATTAAGTTTTTTTCTTTTTGGTTGAAAAGAAAAAATGTTACAACTGGAAATTTTGAACAGATTTCAATAAAATGCACATAAAGTATAAGTAATTGTATGCTAATTTTCTCCCCTAAAACAGAGGTGCACTGTAAATTGGTGGCACAATTTTGAATGATTCTTCACACTCATCATTTTTATTTGCTTAAAGAACTCAGGGTTGTTTTGGCTACTTAAATTATGCTGTCACTATTTCATAAAAATATTGACAAAAAACCTGTTGTAGTGTTTTGTTTTATGGTGAGTGGTTATGTCAGTGGTATTCTGGTATATCTTCAAATTATTTTCCTATTGATATTTGAATAGAAATAAACTCATTCTTTATGGAAAACTATGATTTTTTGAAGACATTGTTAGCTTTCATCTTCCCACATTCAAATTTTAGACTGATTTTTTACAGTACTTAGATACACCTACCAAATGAAAAACACAACAACATGCATAAGAAAACACATTCAAGGATGATAAGTTTGTCTTAACTACAAGCATGCAACCAGAATGTGGATCTTTAAGCAATTTGCAAACCAAGCATATGGGTTGAGTTCCTTTACAAAATCAGTACTAATTGCCATAGTTTATGAAATAATAAATTTGTTTTAATAAACAGCTTAAGTGGTCTGCTAAATTGTTTTATGTTTCATGTTACCAGTTGTGTTGAACACATAAAGTTTAATTTTCCAAAAATGGGTGAAATACAATGAAAGATGTGGAGTTCAGTTTTTACTGTCCTTTTGTGACTTCCCCTCTATCCTAAAGAGAAATTATATAAAAAAGAAAGGGAACTTATTATTTAGAAGCATGATATGATAACGAGAATAGTCATGAAAATAATTAAATGTTCTAATATATTCACATAAGGAAGAAAGCTCAGAAAAAGTTTTATAAAACTTAACGACAGAGAAAGATATTTTATTATTAATCAAGGTTCCAAAGACAAGTTCTGAATACTAAAAACAGATAAAGAAGATATAGTAATTCATGTTTAATCTGATTAGTTTTTGTTTTTTGATTTTGAGGATTTTATTTCCTTTTAAGGAATTAAGAAAGCTAAATTTCCTGTCTCTCTAATTCCCAAATTAGGATTAACACAAATCTATATGTGTTTCCCACCTTTCTGTGGGTAGTATAATTATTTTGACCATTGTTCGTCCATTTTCTGTCTCCTATTTCTTTATTTTTTGTATCTTTAGCTCATTTTCTGCTTGTAGTTTTTCCACATGTGTAGGTCTCATACAGCAATGTTTATATTTAATATAAATGATCTGATCTCAAACTTATATAAAAACAATTAACATTCCTGAGTGTTACCATTGTATACTTTGTTGTTTATAAATCATTTCCTTAAAAAAAGTTGACCAGTTTCTGTGATCAGGGCACATTGTATGAGTCTCCCTCCTCCCTGGCTCTTTGTTCTTTCTTCTTACATCTTTCGCTTTTGGACCCTTTCAGGCACTCCGGTTTGCTCTCAACAAGTGAGTCACCATCTCTCTCTAAGCTTTATTTTATTTTATTTTTGTATAAATGAATATATTTTTGTATTTATATTAAAATATAATATTTA